ATGATAAGTCTGCTTTCAAACTACTCTCCCTTAGGGACAGCAATGGATCAAAGTACCGTAGAAGAGAAAACCCACTTCAAAGCCACTAAGAAAACTTTCTTTATCCAATGTTAGGGGGGGCTTACAGGTTTATTCTGGAAAAAAAAACCCCAAAACTCTCAGAAGGCTGAGAAGTCATATTTGGTCTTATACAATTTGTGTGTGTGTGAGAGAGAGAGAGAGACAAAGACAGAGGAGGGAAGGAAGAGGGAGAGAGAGAGAGAGAGAGAGAGAGAGAAAAGAAGAAGAAGAAGAAGAAGGAGAAGGAGGAGGCAGAGGAGGAGGAGAAAGACTGAAGGAGGGAGGAAGAGAAAAGGTAGGAAGAAAAGGAGAGTGAGGGAGACAAACACAGAAGCAGAGATGGAGAGAGACAAAGAAAGACAAGCAGAACAATCTCCATGTGACTTCACGAGAAAATAATTTCCATGGAGCTGAATCTGTGGTTATCTTCAACCTCTAATTAAAGCATGCTAAGGAACTTGGAAAGTATCTGTCCATTCAAGAAAAAAAATTTTTTTTAAATCCTGTCTTGTGAAATGCTGTTTCAGAATGAATGAAGTAGCATTCCTCTAGCGTGGGTGTGGAGATGTCAGTCTTCAGCTGTGAGGTCAGGAAATATGGCCACTGTTGCTTTTGCTTGTCCTTATAGCTTTCTGCATAGAGTGGGCACTCCTTAGATGATTGGGAGAAGAAAGGATACCTCAGGGCTTTCCATGCTCAGCTATGGTTGTGTATACATGACTTCAGACATCCAGATGGCAAAATAAAATGTTAACACTTGTCCAGATGTTTCTCAGTATTTGGATTTGGGATGTTGTACAGACCAAAAACAAACAAACAAAAAAAACCTGGATAATTAATTCAATCACCAGTTTTTTTCACTTTGATATTTTGGCGTCTTGTGGACACAGCTGCCATCTGTGCTTGGTGTCAGAAGCTCCAATTCATCACAGCTGATGATGGGAAAACTCCTGGATGCTCAAGAATGTAGGCATTGGGTCACATTCTAAAGGCAGAGTGAACAAAGCCAGTAAAAGGCATATTCACGACTCACGGTCAGCAAAGTCCCCAAATAAGAAAGGGGTACGTGTATGACAAGAGAAGAAAGGCATATAGATAATATAGCTAGGAACAAATCTGATCAACGATAGCTTCCACTGGAGGAATAAGGTCATTGATCAAGGGATTGTAGATTGTGAACTGAAAGGGACCCCAGAGGTCATCTGGTCTAATTCCCTAATTAGACTGATAGGGAAACCAAGACCCAGCCTCTCTTAATTCTAATGCGTTCTTTCTGTACATTATTTCCTATTTATCCCGTATATAGCTTGTTTATACATGTTTGTCTGCTTATTGTATCTCTCTTTTAGATTGTGAACTCTTGGAGGGCAGTGAATTTTTTAAAATCTTTTTGTATTACCGGCACTTAGTTCTGGTACTTAATAAACAGTAGGTACTTAATAAATGCTTATTGCTTGACTGAATGAATGACAGAGAGGTTAAAATGATTTGACCAATGTCACATAGGTATTAAAAAAGCTGTGTGGAGATTCAAACTCAGCTCCCCTTATTTCAAATTCACTGCTTTTCCTTCCCCCTAGGTAATAATGCTTTGTATAAGGCATTTAGGGCAGCTAGATGATATAATAGATAGAGTGCCAGGCCTAGAGCCAAGAAGAATCATCTTCCTGAGTTCAAATCTGACTTCAGACACTAGCTGTGTGATCCCGGGGGAAGTCACTAAACTGTTTGCCTCAGTTTCCTCATCTGTAAAATGAGCTGAAGAAGGAAATGGCAAACCACTCCTGTATCTTTGCCAAGAAAATCCCAAATGGGGTCATGAACAAAGGCATCTAGGCTGAGGCTTTCTTTGCCAGCAGCAGCAATGCTTCTGGTGATGGAGATCTGACTGGCTGTCAGAGCCAGCTCATAGTATAGTATCAGGAAGAGAAAGGAGAGGTGGGGCACGACCAGCCCAGCCCCACTACAAACAGCTGTCACTGTCCAATAACAGCTTCCATTACTTGGACCGTCTCCTTGCCTTACTTTGCTTGACCTTCCCGAAAGTTAATCCCTATTTGAAGCTTCAGTCTTTGATTGTTGATATTGCTTGCAAATATTCCTGGAGTAGTTCTCCCTCACTATTCTTTTACTCTGTACAGGGAATTGTTGTCACTCAGACGTCACCTTTGACTACCTTGAGTCCGTCCATTGCAGCTCCAAGGCTCATTTCAACATCATTCCCAGGGCCCAAGCAATTCCTGCCTTTTCCCTTTTCTCTTGACCGTAACAACCTTAAGTGTCTGAAGATAGCTGTCATGGCGTCCTGGCTATCCCTGCCCTGCCAGCCTTCTGTTCTAAAGCCTAAGCATTCCTAACTCCTCTAATAATTCACATGGGACATGAACTCAAGGCCCTTAACCATTGTGATTGTCCTTCTCTGGACATTCTCTAGCTTACAAACGTCCTCTGAATTGTGAGCCTCAAAACCAAAGAAAGTCCTCCCGATGTACAACCAAGGAGATTATAGCTAGGCTTTCATATTCTTATTGCTGGAAGGTCCGTCTCTCTCAATGCAGTCCAAGGTCACGTTAGCTTTTTGGCTGCCACTTGACAATGCTGACTCATACTGAGCTTTTAGTCCACTAAAACCCACAGAGTTTTTCAGGCAAATTACTATCTATCCATACCTGCTACGTCTTATTCCTATTTAAGTCATACATAGATACATACACACATACATTCACATATATGTGAAAGAGGGAGGATATGGGGTGGGGAAAAAGGGAGGGAAGAAGAGAGGGAGGGAGAGAAAGAGACAGAGACAGACACAGACAGACAGACACACACACACACACACGCACACACACACACACACACACACAGAGGGCACATTCAGAAATACTTGAATACCTGAATATTCAAATACTGCTGCAGTCCCTTATTAGCTAATTGACCATGGGCAAAATACTTAACCCTTCTCAATCTTGATTTTGCTATCCATACAATGGGCATATTAATAGCACCTCCTTGACAGTCATTGCAAAGAGTAAAAGAAATGTATATAAATATATGTGTTTTAAATATACATATGTATATACATATATAATATATACAGTATTTTGCAAATGTTAAAGCATTGTATGATTAAATATTATTTTTCCATGTTATTCTGTGATTGCTTGAGTCTAAATGGGAGAAATGAGCTGATTTGGAGGTAAAAACGACAAAACCATCATATTATCTGAGAAATGAAATTCATTCCTAGTTTTCTAATTATTTCCTAAATTCTTTAGCCTTCATGTTCAGTCAGTATGGGATTGTTTTCATGCTTGAGGGTCTACAGAGGTGGTTGCAATATCTTTCAGCCTCTTCAATTTATGAAGCAATTTGTTTAAAATTATGTAAATAGTAGCCTACCTTTTAAAAAAAGGTTTCATAACAAGTATATTCTTAGTCTTGTGAGGACTGAAGAATTTGTTCAACTTTTCTAAATGTCATTCTTTGCTGATGTGAGGACCTTAGAATAGAAAAGGAGTGTTGTTATTCAGCTGTGTCCAACTTTTCATGACCCTATTTGGAGTTTTCTTAGCAAAGATACTGGAGTGGTCTGCTATTTCCTTCTCCAGCTCATTTTACAGATGAGGAAACTGAGGCAAATAGGTTAAGTGATTTGCCCAGGATCACATAGCTAATAGGTATCTGAGGCTGGATTTGAACTCTGGAAGATAAGTCTTCCTGACTCCAGGCCTGGCACTCTATCTGCTGTGCCGTCTAGCTGCCCTAAATGCCTTATGAAAGGTATTGTTTCCTAGGGGGAAGGGAAAGCACTGAAATTGGATTAAGAGGAGCTGAATCTGAATCACCACACAGCTTTTTTTAATACCAATGTAATGTTGGGCAAATCACTTCACTTCTCTGTCATTCATTCAGTCAATCAATAAGCATTTATTAAGTACCTACTAAGTGCCAGGCACTGTGCTAAACACAGGGGATAGAAAGAGAGTTAAAATGTCCCCCCAGGAGCCCGAAATCTAATGAGAGAGAAAATAAGCAAACAAACATGTACAAACCATGTACAAGATAAGTAAATCTCTGAGGCTAGATTTGAACTTAGGTCTTGCAGACTCTAGACCCAGTGCTCGGTTCACTGGGCCACTTAGCTGCCCTAGTAGAAAAGGAATATTTGTACCCAAATAAACATAACTGGCCCTGGGAACAAACTAATAAAGATATGCCCAATTTCTCCCTCTGTTAACTTTAATAGCATTTCAGCCTTCTAGCAGCCCTCTAAGGGCCAGTGGTACAGTGGATAGAGCAGTGGGTTTGGAACCAGGAAGACTCATCTTCATGAGTTCAAATCCAGCCTCAGATACTTACTAGCCGTGTGACCCTGGGTATGTCGCTTATCCCTATTTTTCTCCATTCCTCATCTGTAAAATGAGCTGGAGAATAAAATGGCAAACTACTCGACTATCTTTGCCAAGAAAACCTGAAATGGGATCATGGAGAGTTGGACACAACTGAAACGACCGAACAGCAGCATCAGTAAAAGTGGGCCCTGGTTTGGGAGGGATAATGAGTTGTGAGAAGGCTTAGACTGGGGCCATCAATTAAATAAACAAGCTGCCAGATTGGGAACAGAAGTGTCATTATAGGCACTAAACTGATCACCATTTGTGGATAGTACTTCAGTTTTGTTTTAGGTAGTATGTACAGAATATGCCTTGTATTAACATACCACTATAAGAAAACTAAAGGGTTTTAGACAAGATACTGAAAAAAGTAGATGTAAGTTTGTGATTATGAGACATTTGATATTTGCAAACAATAATTCATTAATTCACACAATATGACAAATATTTATTTAAATACTTTGTGTGGGCAAAACCCTGTACACTTCCTGGCAAAAGGAGACTTGCTCAGATTAGCTTACATCATTTATGCCCAAATATATAGACACAATAAAACAATTTTATTTTGAGGGATGGGGTGGGAGGTGGATATCCATGAATAGTGTGGTCAGTTTTCCATATCCCTTGTTTCACTTGGTAACAACACAAGATTTACATTTCCTAGAACATCACAAGCAGACAACAATATTTAACAACCATAATAATGATAATAATCATGTAGAGAGCATTAGGGTTCACAAAACACCTTTTATACATTATCTTATTTGATTTTCACAATAACTCTGTGAGATTTATCACCCTCATTTTAAAGATGAAGAAACTGAGGCTAAAAAGTTAACTTGTCACATGGCTCATGTCTGAGGCAGAATTTAAAACCAGATCTTTCTGACTCCAATTCCAGCACTCAATCCTTTTATACAGCTCTGCATCTTACAATTGTTTCCATTACTACGCTGGGGGTGGTGGGGGGAGATTCTGTACATTTCATAACAACAATGGGGGAGAGGGACTGTAGTATTACCTAAAAAGCTTCAAGCTTAATATAGCCAGCTCTCAATTATCCTTGCTAATGGAGAGAGCTTCTTTCTAAAAAGCAAAACTCAAATAACATCCCAGATAATCCCAGACTTATTTTCTTGGCATTAGAATGCATTATGTGATTTGGTGCATTCCAAGTTATGTTTTTCCTAGACGACTATTAGAAGTCCTTTGCATCCTTTGAGGATACTTTGGCTGGGGAAAGGGGCTGAGAATGCTGCCTGGTGGGAAGAAATTGGCCAGAGTTTGAAAATTCACTGCAGAAAAGAACATTTGTATTTGGAAAAGAACAAAACCCCCACCCCCATGGTGCCTTTTATAATTTCCACAAACCGATTTCCCAGTCAGTCTGAACTTTTATGTATACCAAAGGCAATTAGACAATAAAGTCCTTCTAGAGATATATACACATGGAATAAGAAAAGCACAATTAGAGATGACAACTGATGGAGTCCCAGGAACATGCAGTCTTGGAAAAACTCACATAGCAAGAACACAATTATGTCTCTTTCCCCACAACAACCCTGTGAGGTAGGTAGTGCAAGAAACAAGATCCCCTTTGACAGGTGAGGAAACTGAGGTTCAAAGAGGTTGTAACTTGCCCGTGGTGACATGGCCAGTATCAAGGTCCCCTGGCTCCAAGTCCAGCATGTTGTTTGCTGCACCAGTTGGCTTCCCAAACATGGAGAAGTTCGTCAGCAGCTCATGGCTGAAATACTGCTGCTATTCTGCAGGTCACTGAGCCAAATGGATGAGATCATTTGCTCCTAATTGCTTCACAGACCTGGATCTCTTTCACCCAGCTGTCAGCTAACCCCTAAGAGAACAATGGAGTTAGTTCATACAAAGAACAATGAAGAAAAGTTGAAGGTGGTAGCATTTGGACCGGAGTCTTCCTTTGTCCAAAGAAGCTACCTGATGATAATAGGCTACTCTTATTTAGCAGTAATATGGGAGTCTATGGCTCCATCAAGGAGGAGTGGTTAGAAAAAATGGAGGCTTCCCTGTTTCTATTACACACTTCTCCCTTTTCTGTGCTTCTCTTCCCAAGAGGCACCCAATGCTATTCCAACTCCTCCAGTCTCTGCTATGGCCAGGTCAGCTGAATGCATCCATTTTATTCCCTCTCAGGGATATTTACATTTCAAAAGATGATCACTGAGAGAGGGCCAGCCTATGAGTCATGAATAGTAGAATTTCAGGTATGAAGAGACCTACTGTGGGCTTTCTTTTTGCCCTTCATATCATACCACATCAGAAAGTTGCATATAGTAAAGTTCATCCTTTTGGAAAGGGCCTGTTACTCTCTGACACCCCCTCCCAGCACAGAGCATATTCTAGAAATCACAAGAAGTAGTACAGAATACCAAAGGCTGGGAGTCTGAAGGTCTTCCCCATAGAGTACCATCTTCATTTCTGAACGCTTTATGTTCTTTATCCTGGACAGCACAGGAAAAACTGGGATTTGGAGCCTGAATAATTCATGGCTAGGAATGATGTCAGAGAAGATTTATGTTCATGTTTAGAGAATAGTCCTGGGAGTCAGAGAAGCAGAACCTAACACTCTAGGAATGCATTTACCTATCTATGCTCACCAGCCTGAAGATTTGCTTATCCCTAGCCTGTGTGTATGTGAGTATGTGAAACAACTTTATTGTTCATACTCAAATACAGGAAGGGTCCATGATTTTTGCCAGCGTAAGGAAATCCCAGTATGTAAACTTCTACTGGCACAGATCACTAGTCATTAATAGTTTATTAATTAATCCCAGGAAATTTGCTTGTAGCTTATAGAAACTACATGATTTGCCCAGGGTTACACAACAAGTAAATGTTGAAGGTAGGATTTGAACCCAGATCCTCTTTAATCCCAGCTCAGCATTTTGATACACCATGTAATGCTGCCTTGTTTAAGAATGTGTTTGTTTGGTTTATATTTTTATTCTTCTATTGATACACTTCGAACACAAGTTTATATCCCCAACACCTAACACTACTCTTTTGTGTACAGTAGGTGCTCAATAAATATGGGTGAATGATGATATCTATTCATCCATGAAGTTATGAGATTCTAGACTACATCAATGTACTTGTCTTATTAAATATTTGAGCCTTGATTCTGTTGCTAACACTCATCTAATAGCAACCTCTGTTACCCTACAGCTTGAAGGATGTTTAATTTCTTTTTAATGATCCAATAGATTACTTTAATCTGATACAGTCCACCTCTTCTGTAACAGGCATGCCACTGGTCTTGAGGTCAACATCTGCACTGGACTTGCTCCCGTTGTATGAAGACCTCCAGCGGAGCAGCATGATCTTCTTAAAGTATTTCATGGTATTGTTTTTGACGGTGACAAAGCACACTGTATTGATCATACTATTACTCATGGCGATGCACTCAACAATGTAGAAAGCCGTAAGATAGTGCTTTTCTTTCACAAACACGGTAGGGAAGAAGTCTCGAACAATGGTGAAGCCATAAAAAGGGGCCCAGCAGATCACATAGGCAGTCAGGATACACATGAGCACGAGGACTGTTTTCCTTCGGCAACGGAGACGTTTCCTAATCTGCTCTGTCTGGAAGCCAGGGACGGCCTTGAACCAGAGCTCTCGGGAAATCCTGGCATAACACAGGGTCATGGTGATCACGGGTCCCACAAACTCAATGCCAAAGATGAACAGAAAGTAGGATTTGTAATATATTTGCTGGTCCACTGGCCAGATCTGGCCACAGAAAATTTTCTCCTGGCTTTTGACGATGAAGAGGACAGTCTCTGTTGCAAAGTAAGCTGATGGGATGGCAATGATGATGGATACAATCCAGACCAATGCTATCAGAAAGGCGGCAGTTTGATAATTCATCCGTGGTTTCAGGGGATGGACGATAGCCAGATATCTAGGGCGAAAATAGCCACAACAATAATGAAAACAATGGATTTGATGTTATTCTAATTTTAGCAACACTGTTATTAGGAGTAAAAGTAGTTGCTCATGCTATTAATAGTGGTCCTCCACCTAAGTCCTCAGCTGCCTCGTTATAGGGTGGAAGGGACAACACTGGTTATTTGAAGGTTATGCTGCCAGTGGAGCACAGACCTTGGGGAGATTCTTTCAAACTGGGGAGTCTTCAAAAATGGGCCCAGAAGTGGATTGTTGTTCAAGGACTATTCCAGCTAGGCTCAGAGGTATCTGTATCCAAGAAGTTTGCAATTAGGTGATGGATTTTTTTTTTTTTTTTGCCGTGGTAATTCACCAGTCGTTCTATTAAGCAGTTGCAATCTGCATCAATGGTAGAAGTACCCACAGGTATGAAATCACCACATTTTTGAAGTATTGAAGAAAGAAACAACAATAAATATCAATTTTATTCCCAGCCTTTTATTCCCTGAGTTTGAGACTCTCTGTGTGGTGCAAGAGGAAGAAAGAGTGTTCAGTTTTGGGGTCAGAGACCTAGACATGAATCTAAGCTTTGTCATCTGTAAGACCTTGGGTGAATTATTTCACTTCTCTGGGTATCCATTAATCACTTTCTTCCTTTGGAAAATGAAACAGTTGGGCTAGATGACTTCTAAGATCCCTTCCAGGGTTAAATCTATGATCCTAACAGTTTTTCTATAGATATTTATTCCAATTCATTTGTAGTTCAAAAATAGGACCATCAGTAATTCACAGAGCAAATGAAACAACTAATCACTCCTCTCTAGGATAGCACTAGAAAGAGAGATTATTTCTTTCACATTTAGAAGGTGAATGAGAAAGGGTAAGAGAGCATATAGCTATTTTATAGGATCATAGATTTAGAGGCAGGATAGACCTTAGATGTTATTCATTACAATCCCTCATTTATAGTTTAGAATATTGAGTCTCAGTGACTTTAAGTAACTTAGCCCAAGATTAAAGAGGAAGCAACAGGTATAGCTAAGAGTTGAATTCATGTTCTCTGACTTCAAATCCATCATTCTTTCTCCTGTACTATGCTACCTCCCTATTTACCTCATTCTCCTCTCACAAACATCCCTTAAAGTTGGTGAAACTGCATCAAGGAAAAGAGTCATGATATGGGTCAAGGTCAAGAAGAGCAGACACTGGAACTCAGGCTTCTTGGCTTTCTCTTGTCCTCTTTCTACCACTGAGCTACACTCAGTTTCTACTATTGTGACCTGGACAAGAGCTTAGAATCCCTTGCTGTCCTTCCCCTAAAGCACACTGCTTTTTCCTAAAGTAATTCAGACAAGAAGAAAATAGCACTTTCGGGGAGGAAATGAGCTCATTTATGTGAGAAGAAGGGTTTCTTCCAGGAGAGAGTCCAAAAAGCTACAGTATATACAGTACCCCTGTGTTCTAGAAGAATGAATTGAGACTGGCAAGAAAAGTCAATGACAATGAAAAAATGAATCTATATGTGGGAAAAGAGTATTGAAGAAAAGATAAAGGCCTCTCTTTGTATGGATGACAGAGAGAAGGCAAAGCTACCCAATTATTGTTTTACTTCTCTTTTCTCTGCTAAGGAGAATTCTCTTTGCCCTTGAAATAACAGAACAAAAGTAATTAATGGGGAATAGCTATCCAAGATAAGTAAGGGGATAGTAAGAACACAACTACTTGTCCTTGACAAATTCAAGTCACTTGATCCAAATGAACTGCATCTATCCTTAGGTCTGGGCAAATTTGGCAGACACGACTAATGTGGCAGACATCGTCAGTGACATCTGAACATTTGTAGAGAATGGGGAAAATACTGTAGGACTGGACAAAAGCAAAGTTTTTCCTGCTTTTCAAAAAAATTAAGGGGAGGGGGAAAAAATCTGCAAACTATAAACCAGTGAACTTGACTTCAATTCCTTGGAAAATTCAAGAACATATCATTTAAAAAAATGATTAGTGGACATCCAAGATGATAAATGAAGGAATCAATGATTACAAATAACCTAAAAGGTTTCATCAAAGGCAAGTTATGCCAGGCTAACTTCATTACTACACTATTTCATTAGAGAAATTTTGAAGCTTGAGTTTGCCTAGATTTTAGTGACTCATTTGATAAAACATTTCATGCTATTCTTACAGAGAAATGAAGAAAGGAGGACTAGGTGATAATAAAAGTAAATGGATTGAAAGTTGGTTGAATGGCTGACAACAGGTAACCATTAATGTTCCAAGTCATTTTGGCAGAAGGTCTTCGTTGAAGTGCCCCAGTGAGCTACATTGGGCTCTGAGCTATTTAATATTCATTAATGACTTGGATAAAGGCATAGATGGCAAGCTCATCAAATTTGCGAAGATACAAAGCTGAGAGGTATGGCTTACACAATGGATGACATTCAGGAACCAAAAACATCTTGAAAGACTGGAAGAGTGAGCTCAATCGAAGAAGATATAATTTGGATAAATGTGAAATCTTACACTTTGGTTTAGAAAAAATCAACAAGTAGAGGATAGGGAGGCATATTAACCAGAAGTTTATTTGAAAAAATCTAGAGGTTTTGGTGGAATGCCAATTGACTATGAGACAGAAGTAGGTTGTGGCAGTCAAACAACTTAATGTGATCTTGGGCTAATTAAGAGAGACATATTTTCTAGGATAGGTAAGGTAATAGTGCCTCTTTATGTCAGTCCATATATAGAGTATTATGTTCAGTTCTGGGCATGGCAGTTTAAGAAGGATATTGTTAGGCTTGAGAGCATTCAGAGGAGAAAAACCAGGATGGCAGAGAGTCTTGAGTCTATACCATATAGGAATCTGTTGCAGGAATTGGGTTGTTTAGCATAAGGAAGAAAAAGAGTCTGGGATGACATGTTAACTCTCTTTAAGTATTTGAAGAGTTACCATGCAAAAGAGGAATTGGAATAGTTTTGGTTAGCTCTAGAGTTTCAGAGAGAAGACATTTTGGATCAATGTCAGGAAAAAAACTTCCAGACAACCAGAGCTGTCCCAAAGTGGAATAAGCTGCCTTGGTAGGAAGTCACTTCTCCTTCCTGGAGGTCTTCAAATAGATGACCACTTGTTGAGGATGTTACAATGGCAATTCTTTTCATATGTGGGCTGGGCTCTTTGGCCTCTAAGATCCCTTCTAATCTAAAATTCTATGATTCTATAAAGAATTCATGTATCTTGTGATGGGGAAATGTGAGGATAGATATGTATATATGAAAAGGAATTGAAAAGAGGAGAAGACTGAGAAGGTGGAAGAACAAACACTATTAAACCTTGGAAATGAATACATACTTAAAAATTCAGAACTTATAAGTCAAGAGAAGCATGAAGGAAATAAGGCAATGGGTCTAAAGGAAGTCAACATAAACTTAGTCTTACCATTTATATTGCCTGTACATCCAGCTTCATGGTACTATTTGTTAATGGAGAAAGCTGGATGACTACAACTTTGTTTTTCCCCAGGCAATAGTTTCATTTTTGTTTCTATTTTTGCTGTTGTTGTTTTACTCTTAGTTTGTTTTCCCTCCTGTTTTTCCCCACCAGTTCTGGCAATAGCAACCAACTGAGCACTTTCCAAATCACTCCACACCATGTTGCCTTTAGTGCTACCATCACCCCAAACTGGCAGGTAACCCAGATGCCTCCCCTTAGACACTTGGTTCTGATAGGCCAGCTTTTACTTTATCTTGCTGGGTCCCAAGGCTCCCCATCATGCTGTGTAGGTATCACCTCCATCTTCCAGTTCCCTTTCATGTGTTGTCTTAGAATATAATCTCCTTGAGGGCAGGCACAACCTTGTTTGCTTGTATTTGAACCACCAGTGTTTGGCACATAGCTCTTAATAAATGATGTCTCTATCTCTCTATCCCTCTCTCTATCCCTCTCTCTCTCTCTCTCTCTCTCTCTCTCTCTCTCTCTCT